GCCCAGCCCCCGGCGCAAACCTCGTTGGCTGCCGCCGGAGCTCGGCTGGGCTGGAGCGGTGGCCGGCTGGAGACTCCCAGTCTGCTCCCAGAGCAGGTAGGAGACCAGTAAGGGCAGAACGCTGATTAAAAACCCTACCGAAGCCAGATGAGCGTGTCAAGGTCGCCAGGACGTGTACAGGCAGGGAGCGAGGATGATGAGGGGACAGGGGGGGTCCCCTGGCAGCCTGCAAGCCCCTGCCGTGCTCCATGGGCTCCACGGTTTCTTTCCTCTGTTGATAAACTCCCAGACGGGTCGGACACCGTGGTGTGTGCTTGGATGGAGTCCATATTCATGCACCTTAGTAAAGAACCTGTTTTTTTTTTTTTAATTTAATCGCTGCTTTCCATGGAGCATGGTTGCCCTGGGCTCTAAATCACAGAATCACAGAATGTCTGGGGTTGGAAGGGACCTCTGTGGGTCACCCAGCCCAACCCCCTGCCCGAGCAGGGTCACCCAGAGCAGTCTGTAGAGGACCTTGTCCAGGCGGGGCTGGAATATGTCCAGAGAAGGAGACTCCACAACCTCCCCGGGCAGCCTGTTCCAGGGCTCCGTCACCAAATACGCATATCACGGGGCAGGGACCTCTCCAGGAGTGAATCCCCGTTGGGGTCATGGGCAGATGATGGCATGTCCCAGCCCAGGCGCGCAGCGAGCGCGCACATCTCCGTGCGCTCCTAGCCCGGCCGTGCCTGGTCCGTCTGTCCTGAGCAGCGCGTGGATCCGTCCGGCGGAGGAGACCCCAGCCCAGGGACGGGACAACAGCAAGGTTTTGCAGAGCCGTTATCTCACCTGGCCTTCGTCCCGCCGCGGCGGCCGGTGAAAGCCACAGCGCAGGCTCCGTGCTGTTGACTCTGCGGCCCCACGTGAGCCATCTCCAAGTCAATAACATGCCAGTAACATGAAACCGGTACGTGGACCAACCCCCATTATTTCATTTCTTTCTCCCCAGAAAAGCCCGACGAGAGGCACCGAGCAGGGAGCTTGCGGGTCCCCCAAATGCATCCCCAAACACAGGTTCTGCCCTTTTCTCCAGCCGCGAGGGCCTGGCCGGTCAAACGGCCACAGCCAGCCCAACCAGGTCTCCTCCAAAACGCCCCGAGACAGATTTGTGTGAGCTTCTTCCTCCAGAGGCAGAATCCATTTGACACCAAGAGTAAATATCGCGGGAGAACTGGCAGCAGCACCACCACGTCTTGCACGGCGTAGCTAAATAGAGGGAGAGAAGTATTTGCCCTGTCTTCTCCAAGGACGCTGAGCAGATGGGGTCTTGGGTCGTAATTTTTTTTGGCCTAAATGGTCACTTGAGGCAGATATTAAATCCAGTTAATAGGTGTGGTTGAGGGGAAATGGACCTTTAATTAAAATCATTGCTTGCACTGTCAGGTTATACGCGCCAGGCTCTGTATTCTCTCAATTACTGCTCTTATTAGGGCTCGGGATCATCATAAATACTGATTTAAAATAATTATGGTGGGACAAGTAGCCATCTGAGTAAGACAAACACAACGTTAGCACTTGGAGGAATCAGTTTTCGAGAGAAGAGCAGCCCCGCTCGGGGGTTATGGGGCCGGGGGACGGACGGACGGTGGGCGTCCCGGGGAGGGACCCCCCATGCCCGCCGGCTCCTCGGCGCGGCCACCAGCTGCCGCGCAAATTTCCTAGCCTCTGCACCCCGCAAG